AGAAGCCTTGAAGCTGGCCATCCACGGGTGACAGTAGGCAGTAGACTGAGCAAACACACAGGTCACCACATGCACTCCTCCTCACTACGGTGAGATGTATATTATTTCCATGTAGATTATAGCTATTATTCCTAAATTTGCATCTGTGCATATCAAATCTCTCTCTGTGTGTTGTTGTTGTTGTCGTCGATGATGATTCCCTCTCTAGCTAATCCAACAAGAACCTCTTGAATACGACACTGAATTCAAGTGTCGTATTCAGCAATTCAGCAATTCAGAATTTGAACGGAGGGCCTTTTACTTTACGGGTCAGAAATCTTTTCATCTGTTGATTGTGCAAGCAGAGAAAATCATTGAATGGCATATGATGGCACATGTCCACTGTCTTTAACAGGTCTAGTACCTCATTGAAATTGTTTTAGATGTTTCATTGTTTGAGATTTTTGTATGTTAAGAACTGCATACTATGTTTTATTATCTTGTATCTATGGTGTATAATTTTGTGCATTATTGTGAACTGTCCAGAAAGCTTTGGCTGTTGGATGGTTCAGAAATGAAATATTAGAAGAACAACAACCAGCAGCAGCAACAACAATAAACTACCAAATGAGTGGTTGATGTGCAGCCAGACCAGCAGCATGGGCTGGGGGCTCCAGTGTTAGTGGGGCAGCGTAGCCACTCTGGGTTTTAGTTGAAGCTTTAAAGGCGACATCCAAAGCATGGTGCCCCCAGGCTAAGATTCAGCACCACAGATAGTTCCTTAAACATGCAGACTGCAACTCAGAATGGATACATTTGCCACCACTGCACATTGGGAGCTATTATCTATAGCATAAAAATGTTTGGCTTTTATTGCTTCTCCTGATTTCTTCTTCGGTGAGAATATATGGTAAAATCTTTGCACAAGCTTGTGGATGCTGGAAATAACAAACTTCATATAATTTTAGGAAACTCTAAGAAAAACCTGTTTGCATAACTGCTGGAAAAAGTTACCACCAGATGATCAGATAACAACTATGTGTTGTTAACCACAATCAACCAAGAATTCACAACCCAACAACAAGCCATAAGATATTTTCCTGGGTTGTTCACAGTTAACAATTCACTGTTAAACCATAATGCAGTGTTCACAGATAATGACAACCCATGATTTAACAGTCATGATTCAACCATGTGATTCAACCATGATCCGGGTTCATGTCAACCAATATGTAGCCTTGAGCTACATACAAACGGCAGCTTTGCCTAAGTTGGATTAAAGCCTGGAATTTTGACAGTAAAATGTGCTGCCCATGATCAGTTCTTAGCTGGTGCCAGCTATGCCAGAAAGAGGCATTAGCCATTTCACAGTGCTTCCTAGCCTTAACTTAGTTAAAGGCCATGCTGACTGGGAATGCTGACTGATGTAGTCCACTGCATCTGGAGAGTACCAGGTTGAACAAGACTGTCTAATCCATTCAGACTAGTTTTCTGATGCATGTCTCTGTGTTATTGGCCTTGATCCATGCTGGCTGCCAAACTAGTCTGGTGCTCCAACCCTTACAGTATTCTGGACCTGGTACTTCAGAAACATGGAAAAAATAGCACAGCCCACTAGCTTTTCCATAAGTCTAACTTTGAGTACTTATGTCAGCTTTTGGACATTAATTTTCCACACACATTCTTCCACAGGAATCATTCTTAAAGTATTCCTGTGGAGGCAGACAGTTTATGGAAACCAGCCCCAAATGTCACCTGATACTCTGCTTCCCATCCTCCACAGGTCACAGGGGCCATTGGTAAAAAGGATATTTCATCTGCTTGAGTGATTATTCCCACAGGAGTTCTAGTATGATTTTAGTGCTGCTGGGTTTTACTCTGGTTTAAATTTAAGGGTTTTATTTTATGTCTTACTATGCTATTGCATATTATGGTTTTAAGTTGCATTTTAAGTTGAATTCCCCAGAGAAATTAGGCTATTGATCAGTCTAAAAATTGTAACACACAACTAAATATTTAAGCCTGGAAACACTTGCAGAGCTGGTGAGTTTGGATTTATCTAGCATTAAACACCCACTATGCACATCCCATCATTTGCAGATGTATGATTAGACAAGCTCTATTTGCCAGTGAGTTCTCCTTCATACAATCGGGTTTCGGGTTTTTTGGTGGGAGAGGGAGTGTTTTAAGAGAGACCTGTCCCATCTTAAATTGGGCTGAAAGCATTCCAAACTAGTGCCTAAGCCTGAATATCAGACAATATTTTCCAGATAGCAGTATAATTTATTTATTTATTTATTAAAACATTTTTATGCCGCCCCATTCGCCGAAGCCTCGGGGCGGCTTACAACACTAATACACTCTTGGTAGGGGACTGTGGCACACAACCAGGAGTACAGAAAGCATCCTGGGGTCAGAAAGGACCAGAATAAGACTATATACCCTGCAGTCTAGAGCTTGTGGATCAAGAATTCATAAATGGTGAATATATTCCAGGGGCTTGTAACCCTATAGATATTATTGGTCAAGAATTCCCATCAGCCCTAGCCAGGATATCCAATGGTGATGCATGATGGGAGATGCAACCTAACATTTGGAGAGCAAGAAGTAAGCTGCCCCTGAACTAATCCTGAAACAGTGGTCATGCCACTCCTGTCCCTGCAAACCTTTCTTCCTTCCTAATTAATTCCATCAGGCAAACAAAGCCTGTGGCTAGATTTGTTTACTACAGAACATTTCCATCCTGCTTTTTCCCTTCCTCTAGGGGAAGAAAAGCAGTGAGCAGCACAGAAATATATATACAGATAGGATTTTTTTAAAAATGTGATAAATCCTGTAGTAACAGCATTGGCAAGCAGAACAGGTGATTACTCCAGCATTCTCAGAGATCTCTGTAAAGAGCCAGATCTTCACTCGGTAGCAGAAAACAGGTAGTGAGTGACAAGGCCTGTCCAGTGAAGAGATGCCAGAATGTTGACACTGCAGCTGAAAAGGTGCTGCTCCTTGGGCCCACCTGAACTTCAACCTGTAGGCAGGCCCAAAGCGGGACCTACAACTGAGTGTGCAGGACAGCACATATGAGAGAAGATAATCATTCAGGTACCCCTCATTCCAAGCCATTTAGGGTTTCAAAAGGAGAGAAGCAGGACCTTGAACTGTGCTTGCAACAAAAAGATAACCAATCTAACTTGAAAAATATACTGCATATATACTGGGATTATATATGCATTGAACCAACCCTGACAATTGCCTGGTGATAGCATTTTGAACCAACTGAATTTTCTGGACATTTTCCCAGTAAATGCATTAGAAATACTCATTCTTGCCCCCAACCACTCAATATGTCTTGCCTTTCTTTTTAATGTAATTTAATTAGGGGCTTACCCATTTGATCACTTATACCTCAAGGTACTTAGCAAAATCAGTTGAAGTTAAAACTACTGGCAGCAGATGAAAACAAATACCAGCAACAGCCAATAGATAGAAACTTAAATTAGCTTTTGATTTCAGCAGTAGACAAGACTACCCTGAACTCTTTTCATTCCAGATCTTAATTACAAGAAGCAATTACTGTTAAGAAACCCTGTCTGAGCTTGACTCCCTCCCATTCCCCATTCCTTTGAGCTTTTGTGTCATGTCTTTCAAATCATTAGCCTGAAGGCAGGGACTGCCTTGTTTTATTGACTGTAAGTAATTTGCTCGGGGTGTGTGTGTGTGGGGGGGGGGGGGGTTGGATGAAGGGTATATAATAAAAAGCATAACATGCTATGAAGAATGCAAGAGAATTGAATGAACTTTATTCAGCAGTTAAAATATAATGAATACTGCAGGCAAAAGTGGAAGGAGTTCAGCAATTTGGGGGCCACCATTGAAAGGGCCTTCCCTGGTTCCCACCTACTTAACCTCAGAAGTCAAATGAACCTAGAGGAGAACCCCTAACCAAGATCTCAGTGACAGATGTGTATGAGAAGGCAATCACTTAAAAAGGCTTAGAGCCTTTGAAAGTGCAAGACTAGCACTTTTAACTGAGCCCATAAATAAGCTGGCAACTAGTGAAACCCTTTTGACACTGACATAATATTTTTCTTGATTTTGTACAACTGTGACTTTTATCTATCTCTAGCTTTCACTTCAAACTGACCCCCAAATCAGATTACAAAGTATCAATTAAACTGACAATAAAAAGTAATCAGAAAACATAAAATCAGACACTAAAATAAGTGATAATACCTATTATCTGGCTTGAACACAGCTTGTCATGTTTATCCAAAGAAAGGGCTGGCTCCAGAATTTTGAGAGGCCTGGAGAAAACACTCTCAGTGCCCCCTCCCCAGTGAAGCTACCTTCTTGTATCCATTGTCACCAACTGCTCTTGCTCCTCCTCCTCTTTCCTATCATTGCTCCTATTTATTTATTTACAAAAAAGTTTTTTTATGACCACCACCACTGTCCAGGTAAGAGTAAACAAGCAGGTTCACTCTGAAAGGCACAACTGGAGTCCACCAGAATAACCTTCAATGCGGTAGCCCCATTTCTAAGGAATTCTTTGCCTCTAGAGATCGGGCAGTCACCATCTCCATGCTGCTTTGGGGCCTGCTGAAGACGGCCTTGATCCAGGAATCCTTTCTGGCTGACCAGACACAGTTTTGTTGTTATGCAGTTCTTTCCTTTGTTTTAGCCTTGCAACCATTCACCACACCAGAATCTGCTTAAATATGGAATGGAATACAAATATGGGAAATAAATTCAGAAGGTAACTAAAAGAAGAGGAACAGCTCCAACGGCTTTTGCCAGGGGGCTCCTGTATGGGTGCTCTGCAACAGCTCAGCCCTGCCTATTCTTGGCACCAGCCTTGTCTAGAGAGAAAGGAAGCGGGAGAAGCTGCTCCGCCATCCAGTCAGTAAAGCTCTTGAATACAAAAGCTCTTTCCATCAAAACATGGAAGATGAAACTCCTTCATTGGGATCTTCGCAAACAGGATGTCCCTGCACAGAAAGACCCTGGAACTCATCATTACTCACCACCACAACCCAGGTGAAAGGGTCATCTACAAGAGGGCCTCTTCCTAGGATTTCAAGGATTGGGGAGGCACATATGGGGAGGAGGTGGTCCTTCAGATCGCTTTTAAGTATGACATCCTGGCAATTAAATAGGGAAAAAAGCAGGGGGAAATAAAATTAGTAACTTTCAAAGGGCATGCCTTTTAAAAGCAAAAACACCCTCTGCACCACACATGAAAAAAGAAGTGGTACAGAAGAGAAACTATAGTATTGCACATTCAGTTCAGCAGATTCTATCCTGCCTTTTTATGATACGCTTGGACAATCAGCAGCATTTGCCTTGAACATAAGAATTAAAAGAAAAAAATCATTTATTTTATGCTGCAATATAGTGCCAAGCAAATAAACTACTGGTCCTCAAACAACGTTATGGTTTGCAATAGTCAGCAAGAACACACTTGCGGGATAGGTAGCAACCACAAGCCATAGGTTAAACTAAAGGTGGAACGACAGGGGATTTTGTGGTCAGGGGAAGTCCAGCAAGAATATGCCATATAGCAAAACCCCACAAATGCCAGAATAACTGTCTAATATGATTCAAGAACACATGAGACTGTGACATCTGACTTGAAAACTCATTTCCCGTGTCATCGTAAACAGAACTAGTTTCAGATGGCTAAATAAAGGAGCTGACGTTTTATAAAACCATCAGTTGTTTATTCACCTGTACATATTCCCTTATGGATCTATAGTATAGATGGAGGGTAGGTGGTACTTTGAAACTGTGTGGAAAACATTGTTTAGAAAAAATTTAAAAAAAAAACAGAGTAAAAAGCGCTTCCACCGAAAAATAAGATTATTTCATAGTGCCCCCCCCACCTCCCGCAAAGGAGAATGGAGGACCTGGTGTCAGTTCCAAATAGCTTTCTGTGGCAAGGAATCATTCACATCTGATTGAAGGAAACACTAAGTGTTGGTGGTTGTAAATCACTGTAGGTGTAAGTGGATAATTGGGCAACCTGTCACACAGAGGTGAATGACTACAGCCCTTGCAAACCTGGGAAGATTCAAGCCATCTTCGAGTGCAGGAGTCATTTTTTTCCACAAGCATAAATCTAGTAACAGACTCTGCCTCCTATCACTTTAGCTCAGTTGCACACTGAACTTGCATGATTTAGCAAAGTACAAGTTCTATAAAGCTAGTGGGCACTATTGTATTTACTTAGGAGTTAATGATTACCATTCTCAAGAGCCATCCTTGCTCAATGAATAGTAACTGTGTGCAAGCACACACAGAGAGAAAAAGAGATAAACATTATTTACACTGAACAACTGCACATGTTGCTCTTTCTTGCACAGCATGGTAGTTTAGTTCCAAGCTACCTCTGTTTTGAACTTTCTGCTACCCAGATCTTTGATGTGGTGTGGAGAAAGGGTGGCTAACGGCTGTAAAAATATCCTTATGAAGTGTGATGGAAATAAACTTCTAAGAGGACAGCAACTATAGATAGTACTTGCAAAACATCTATGGCCAAAACATCCAGGGTAACTTAACCAAGCAAGGGTGGGTTAGGTTACAGATCTCTCACTCTACTCAAGAAGGTAGCATCAGCCATCTCATGAATTCATTCTTTCTTTGAAAGGTGATAGGAGGGAGAGAAAATTCCCTGATACTGGCTTGCTTGTTAGGTGACTTTAGGAAGAAAAAAAAAAAAAACAATCTAACGTCCACCCAAAATAGAGAAGCATATGGATTTTAATGCTTCATGAGACCTTGATGACCTCTCTGCACCACATTCATCATCAGGATTTGCTGTACGGGCACAGAAGATGCAAAATCAGGAAACCGGCAGGGTTCATAGGTTCCCCACCCTGCAGAGAATAGCAGTGGGAGACTTAAAAAGCCCTGCACCTCCCAAAAGACGCCACAACCCACAGCAGTGTGCAAGTGGCAGGTGTGCCCTTCTTTCCAGCTGCTGATCCCAGCTTCAGGGGGCACCATGCAGTGTTAACTAAAAGTCTCCAAGTAGGGAAACTGTTCAGCAAATGCGATGCCTCACTGTTCAAGGTGGGACCAGCAGCAGTGGGTGGGCTGCTGTTGCGCTTTCCAGATGTGAAGCTGCGTCCACATCTCCTCGCCTCTCAGTGTGCAGGTTCCATAGAACTGCAGGGTGAGGAGACTGTGAAGGAAATGCTGACTTCTCTAGAGCCTCCTTGTCCATTAATCCCACAGAGCCACCAGGCAAGAAGAGGGATAGGTGGATGCAGTGTCTGTGCAGAGAACTCATGTGCAGCCCATTCCCTCTTTTTGCATTTTCAGGACTCCCAATAAAATGTTACCTAGGCCACAGAGAAGCTGCCAGACTTACATGCACACACATATGCCCCCTCCTTCATTCACAGTGTTAATGCCACAGCCACCCCAGTGATGAAAGAAACTCCACAGGACATTGCTTCATCTGGGAGGCATAACCTTCCTCTCCAGAGTTCCTGTGAAGTATTTGCTTTACATCTGACAGTGATATTTTATGAATGGAAAAATCAATGTCATCACTGCGTTCATTTCAACATTCTTCGCAGGCTCAAAGGTCTCAGTAGGGACCCAATAATTACAGAATGCTCCAGGAAGGGAGGTGGAGGGGAGAATCTGACCATTACCCTTTACTTTGTGATACAATGTTGACAAATATGATTCCTCAGGAAAAAAAAAATCTATGAAGAAAGTCCTGGCCGGGGGTGGGAGTGGGCAGATTGAGAACCACACACTGCTGTTGTTTCTTCTTTTGTTCTGCATTTCCTTTTCCAAGTGCCACTAAGAAGCAAGTAGGGAGAAAGTGTCCTGGAGAGCAACGTTCCCAAAGTAGAGCCAAGACCAACACACACAGCTTAGGTATTTTCAAAGCAGCCGGCACAAGTTCCAGCCAATCCAATAAATCCTCTAGCTTTTCAAAGCAAGGAGGATGCCCAGGCAGAGAGTAGTGCAGAGGAATGCAAGGAACTCCATGCTGGTTGGGGTTGGGCTTGGATTTAGCCAAGGGAAGGCCAACTGCTCTACTGGGGTTATTCTGTTCTCCAGCCTGGCACCAGATGTTTACATTACTGGTCATCAGTAGGCCAGCTTTCTAAGAAAGCTGTTTCCTTCTTGCAGTAAAGGCTTCCAAATAATGAGGCTTACAGACCCAGACAAAGTGTTACATGCAAATATATATGCTTACATATGCAAAGATATAAACCTAAAGGCAAGGTGCAAATGTTAAATCATTTGGGATAATTGTTATTATTATTTTCATAAAAGTATGGGCAGATGTTTAACCATGGTTTTGACTAAACTTAGTCGGGCTGTCAGGGAAATGTGAGAGTAGCGTGGAGGCAGAATATGGCTGTGAGCCACCAGGCAACCAATTCTGTTTTGCAGCCCACTCCTAAGTATATTTACTCAGAAGTAAATTACACTGTGATGAATGGCATTTACTCCCAGGTGAGTGTGCACAGGATATGACAATTGCTAATGACAGAAGGACTGAATGCATTCACAAGATGTGCAGATGACTTATCTGACACGAAATCAATACTATAGTAATTCCCTACAGGTTTTTACACTTAACTGGTTATGTGGCTAATAGTAAGGAAAGTACCAGACTGCTGACAGAATGGAAGAGGTGGGTTTTCTGACCAACTCTTTTCACTTTATAAACACCAGCATGAACATCTGTCTGATGGTTTATGTTCAACAGATTCTTAGTCATTCTGAGGCATGCATTTGGCAGAGAGGGACAATCACAGAGGATGTTTTAGCAAAAGATTGCTCATGTTTTTGGTTTTAGATACTGTACAGTCAGGGACCCTGAACCTTGCAATAAGGCATGTCATAAAGTTATGGTGATAAGACAGCAATGGCCAGTTATTCTACTCCCTAAGAGAAATGGTCCAGCTCAAGGCAAAATGTAGCTATAAATACTAAAGAACTTCCATAAAGAGTCTGCCTCTAACATCTGGCTTAGCCACACATGTTCCCAAATCATTGTATTTCCTAGCTGTAGAACAAATACATTCAAATTCCTTATTATTATTTCAAATTTTATATTTGAAGTTCTCCATGTGTTGTTTAACCATATGAATTCAAGACTTGGCTAGTACATGCACCACAATTTATGAAAACAAAATGTCCATATTGATTAGCTTGAAGTTTGTGACTCAGACAAAGGTACTGAAGACTGCAAACTTGCCTATCAGCATTTATTGGATTAAATTAACACTAAACATTGCAATGTGATTTTGGAGAGTTATACATATTGGTGAGTGTGATCAATATGCAGCAATCAGTGCACTTCACATAAATGCTTTTTCATTTATTGATTTTTGCTGGCAGGTAGAAAAAAATTTGGTGCAATTCATTTACTCTCATCTCCTCTTTATCAAGATGCAGTTAAAAGCAGTATACTGCAGAACTAGTTTCTCATGGGTTGTCAGACAGAACTATTTTAGGATACTTTAATTTGCATGGATTTTCTTACCTCCATTACTTTCAAGGGAGGAGAGAGTTGTCTAGTGTATTCCACACAGCTCCAACAACTGTGCAAACACTACCTCTCTTGCAAAGAACACAAGAACACTAGCATTTCATTTAAACAGACCAAAGAAAACACACTCACACAATTCTCTCATGCTCCATCAAACTCGTCAATGGCAAAGCAAGGACAGTGCCATGTCCGACTGATCCCTAACCCAAACTGCGGGCAATCAACACACTCATTAACCATTTGTTACCTTAGTACCTGAAGAGCCAGAAAGCAGAGAAGGGGGATTTTGCAGCTTCCGAAGAAGTGGGTGACCAGCGACATTACTTCTTCACCAAACAGCCTTTTTTTTCTCCAGTTCTCACACAGGACCCTGCATTTCCTCATTTTTTAGGACTGCTTTTTTAAATTTAGTGCTCAGCAGCAGTGGAGGGAGGAAGTTGCAAAACTGCAGGGCTGCTTAGTTCATTCTCTTAGTGTGACATAAGGCTAGAATAACAACAGCCTGAGCACTGCAACTTGAGAATTGCTAATCAAGTCTCTATTTCTTCTTCCATGGGGTTTCCAAACCCCCAGAGGACAAAGCCAGATTCCCTTCTCCCCATAGATTTGTGTTACAGC